CAGGGATTTTATTCCCTGTATTTTCTGGTTCCAAAGAAGGACGGATCTCGCCGCCTTATTTTGGATCTCCGAGTGTTAAATAAACGTTTGAGGAAATACAATTTCAGAATGTCAACGCATGGCTCGCTCGCCCGCTACATAAAACGCAATGACTGGTTCACATCAATCGATCTGAAAGATGCTTTTTTCCACATAAGCATTTATCCTATTCGTTTCACCTATCAAGGCACATGTTACGAATGCATGGTCTTCATTAACCCTCTGGGGTCTAAGGTGTTTTTGGGGTCCTTGAGATGTTTTGACATGCCCTGACAGTTGTGCTTTAATTGCCGGCATCAGCTCCAACACAGGTGTAACTCCTTAGTCAATAATGACGTCACTCACTCTGACTCCATCCTGCAAACCAAACAGAAAGAAAAACACACAACCCACAAATATGACACATACTGGCAGGGCCGGCTCTAACCCTTTGGTTGCCCTAGGCGATATTGAGTTTTGCGCCCCCCAGCTTTCAAATTTTGTGCATTTTAATGTTAAATTCATCAATCTGGTGCACTTTGAGAGTTCAAAACTAAAAGCTCCAACCCATATTCAGTGTGCAAATTGAACAAAGAAAAATTCAAACCTCTTTTAATTACAGTGTCTGTCTACATTACACTACTACATAATAAGATATAATATTAATCCCATGACAGTAATTGCCATAGGCTATATTGTAAAACAAATGCACTGAAAAATAAAGGAAACTTTCATGAGTATTGTACAAATGTCTATACTTGAAAGTAAGTTATATATTTGGAAGTAACCCAGCGCCGCCAATTAAGCAAAACAAAACAAAACGAATGGGCCACCGATGTACGAGTTTTATGGGCCGTTAAGACAAAAATAGAAAAATAAAAGTATATGTATGTATCGGCCCAAAAAGCACGTCGGGCCCGCGGGAATCTCCCGGTTGTCCCGATGGCCAGAACATTTGACACCTTAATGGATGAGATGAGAAGACTTACCTCTATACTGGGCTTTCTTTTTATCTTGTTGCTTTCTCCGTTTTCGTCCCTGTGCACCAGAGGGTTTAGACCGCTTCATTTTCGATCAGCGCGCGCAGCAGCCGAGCACTTGCCTAACGTAACCATAGAACGTAACGTAACGCAACTAACCCCCGCCCCCCCCTTTAGGAAATGATCGACAATAATCATCCATTCAATCTAATAATCAGGTTGACAAGTAAACGTATGGCTGAGGGGCACCTTAGGATGATCATGTTTAATAAACATGTTTTTGTTTCGCTTGTCATTCTAATTCTATGATTAATGGGAAGTAGGCCAGGGGCGTCACTAGAGGGCGCCCGCGCCCCCAACACATTTGTCGCCCTAGGCAACCGCCTAGTTCGCCTATAGCAATCGCCGGCCCTGCATACTGGGTTCATAACAGGGCTCACCAGCCCGACGCTGTGAGCTGCTCCTGTTGGAAGCTGCACGGGCCCTCTCGCTCGGCAGTCTTAGATCTCGGTCCTCCCCGCCCATCGGTCGGCAGAGCTCACCCGTCAAGACGCGGTGTGAGCCCTCCCGATCGGGCATTCCCAAATCTTGCTGCTCCTCATTCGTCAGCCAATAGGGCCCGTCCGCCTAGCACAGTGAGCTGCTTCCGCCAGAGGCAACACGGGCCCTCCTGGTCAGGTGGCATAAATCACGCTGTTCCCCGTTCATCGAACGGTAGGGCTCGCCTGTCTGATGCTGTGAGCTGCTCCCGTTAAGAAACGGCGCAAGCCCTCGCGACTGGTCGTTCAAAATTACGACTTCTCCGCGTTCATGAGCCAGCAGGCCCTCCTGGTCAAGCAATTAGGCTTATTCTCAAAACGCCAGCCCACCAAATCTCTGCGTTTTGGGGGTTCTTTAGTCTGGCGGCTGTCCTTTGCTCTTTTTGCCTTTTGGGGGAGTACTCTGGGTTCGGGCAAAAATTCTGAGCTCGGAGCCCTCCCCCCGGACAGCACGCCAAATACGCATAATCTTTACTCTGTTTAATTGATGTAAGTGTGAACTCGTGAACACAGATTTAGACATTTGTGAACAATATTTGAGATAAATAGGCCTTTTGTGTACATAGAAAAAGTCCTAGATCTTTCAGTTCAGCTCATGAAAAATGGGGGCAAAAACAAAAGGGTTGCGTTTATAATTTTGTTCAGTGTATATATGGACACTGATTTATGAGATCACACACTCTATTTAACACATTTTTCAATGTAATTTAAATCTGGTATATTTAATAACCATAAATGGTTATTACCATTTTCCTTTTACGTAACATCTCGCCCTCTTTCTCTAGTAGTTCTTAATATTTTCATTACATCATTGGACAATATGTATTTCTCCAAGAATTCAACACTAAATGTGTCTGACATGTATTTTTTTATATGACTTTTGTGATTTTTGACAGCAGTGTGTGAACAGGACTTGTGACGTCAAAAGGCTGTGCCGCGATCCTGCATCTGTTGTGATTCGACTGAAGAAGGTTTGTTTTTTAAAACCAATGAAAATGAAGAATAACCAGTTCCAAAAAATGTGTATACCAAAAAAATCAACCTGTCACATGAAATCCAATCATGTAATCTCTGTCTTGACTGCTGCACTGTAAAAAATGTTTTGTGTTCTTTACTGTACATACAAAAATATGGTAACAATATTACACATTATATTTTTGAGGAGTTTTTAAGTCTTGATTTCTTTCATGGAATCTACCTGAATAAATCATGTAAAATCCCCTAAATGATTTAGTCTATGACACAATGAATTTAATATTGTAAGTGAAATATGCTTTTTTTATTTTAAGTTGACTCTTAAAAGTGTTTGAATTAGAGTGAATGGAAGTGACCTGTTTATATATGACTTGTATTTGAGTTATATTGTATAATTAAAAGACTGTATGCAGCAACAAACTTGTTAATGCACTAGCATTATAGCAAAGTTTTTGCTCAATGAATATAGCAACATGCTTCAGAGTATGAACACATGCAGTTATTCACAGCCTAACCATAAGCCCTACTCTTCTGCACAATGGTAACGATCAAAACTTCAACATAATAGAAACTCTTTCAAATGTCAAACATAACTGAACAAACATTAACAGATGTTTCCCTTTACTCAAAAACACATAAAATAAATAACACTTAATTTCAATATTTACTCTCCATTTCAAGCCATGTGCAAAGCATCCTGGGAACTATCAATTGTGTTCTAATTAAAATCACATAATTTAACTAATTCTCTTAAAATAAATAGGTAGCCTTTTTCTTTTATTTATCAGTTCCTCAATTCAAGGCTCAAAACTGTGTATGTTTCTTTAAAAAAATATATATATGAAAATGTATCTCTTGGTTTTATTCTTAATATTTTCTTTACAACACTGAACCACAATTTTCTTAATAAAATATACACAATATTTTTTAATTATCACCTTCATTTTAATGAAAATTACAAGACCCATGATTAATTTTTACAGTGATGTGTTTCAGCCTTCCTGCTCCTATTCAGATGAGTGTTTCTAACTATTTAGTAACGCACTCTTTGGATTTAAAAAAGTATGATTTGCATTTACTTTTATGTTAAAAGAAAAAAAGATGTACACTAGATAAGACTACAACTACATTCTTTACATTAACAGTGTAAAGAAAGAACAGATCTGTTGCTTTGATACTACTACATGTTTTAGAAATCTGTATCACCATAAAAGAAAACTGATAATGGGACAGCTATATCAAGCTTTTAAATGTTGTTACAATTTCTTGCTGTGAAACAGTTGTGATAAATCAATACAGTATTATTTGTCTAACACTGTTACGACCTCCCCTTTTTACGTCTAGGGGTTAAGGGAAAATGTAACAAAAAGATAAGAGTGACCATGGGGAACTTCTCATCTCCAGACCCAGCTCAAGAAAGATCACTGCCAACTAAAGCTCAAACTGAAGCGTGATTTATTAAACCAGGAAAAAGAGGAAACAAAAGTTTCAGGACAAGGCCAAAATAATAAACAAAAAGGTTCTAACTTAATTTTAATCTTCTAAGTTACCAATAAGAAAATGAAATGAAAAACAGCAAATCTCCCCCGTCTCACTCAGAAAAAGAGGAGAAAAAGATAAATGACAAAGAAAATGGCACCCACCTCCCTACAGGTTTCCAAATAACTCAAATAACAAGATTTAACATCTTGACCTGTCAGCAAAAAGGAATACCAGAGCACGTTCTTGGCAAAAACCAAGCCAATACCTTCAATTCAATTAACAGTTAATATTAACTGATTTACAATGGAAAAACAACATTGGCAAATGATCTGGAGCAGAAGAGAAGAAGTCCACATGGGGAGGGAAAACCCCTCTAAGGCCTCGTTTACACTCTCAGTGAAATGTGATCCAATTCCGATTTATTTTGCTCATATGTGATCGGATGTGTTCTATGACTGTGTAAACAGAAAAAAACCCCGCATGCATTCTGTTATTTCGAAATCAGTTTCAGGCCTCGTTCATATGTGGATATAAATCAGATATGTGTCAATGCGACTGTCGTGTAAACAGGTACCCAAAAATCGGATATAGGTAACAAATCAGAATTGGGCATCAAGACCTGCAGTGTAAACGAGGCCTAAATGTCTGGTTGCTGTCTGGCTTTAGGATGCTTTTATTGCTGGCCCTCTTCTTGCAGGACCAGTGAATGGAGCACCAGATGACCATCAGTATATGAGGAGCAGATATTTACAATCAGCACCTGAAGAGCATCAGCAAACAGAGAGGGAAATATCACACGAATACACAGCAATGACCTTAAAACATACGTACTTGGAACACATACATTGTCACCTAAAATAAACCCAAACTTTCAGAGAAATTTGATGAAAAAATCACAACTTAAGATAAAACTTCCACCAAACAAATAGAAAAATATATCAATGCAGACAAATAAATGTGAGTAAAACAAAAATAAATAAAAAGTTAACATTTTGTTGTAAAATTAATGTTTTGTTAATTGAGCCATTTCTCTTGGGCTTTTTATTGCTCTGTCAGGCTCTCCAGCTGTTCCATCTCTCTGGAGACATCTAGAAAATCATAATACAAGATGTTGTTAATTTTACATGAACATTTCTGAGTGATGATTGAGATGAGGTCATCATTGGCAATAATCATTCTATATTTATTTACTAGTTTCCTTGGTGTAATATGGCATTCTCTCTTACCCATTAATGTGATTTTGCTGGTTTGGGACAGTGCGAGTTTTATTGATTTCTTCAGTCCTGATTCAAGAGCATTCTTTATGTAGAGCTTCACAAAGAACAAGACAAGTGTCCGTTTAGTCATTGTACAAATTAATGCATGTTTGTCTTCATGATTGTGAGATTAATACCTTTAAGTTATTGAACCTTTTAAGTGCCTCATTTTTGGCCTTGTTGAACATGTCTTGTTTTTTCTCTTTGACTGTGATTATTAACAGATCTTGCATTCTCTTCATGGCTCCGACTCCTCTCATTTCTGCAGCTTCTGAAATCAGCAACACTCAGCATTCACTCATTGTATTTCTCATGGAGACACATCAGAACAAAGAAATGTTCACACCATTACACCACCACCACCAGCCTGCACAGTGGTAACAAGGCATGATGGATCAATGTTCTCATTCTGTTTACGCCAAATTCTGACTCTACCATCTGAATGTCTCAACAGAAATCGAGACTCATCAGACCAGGCAACATTTTTCCAGTCTTCAACTGTCCAATTTTGGTGAGCTCTTGCAAATTGTAGCCTCTTTTTCCTATTTGTAGTGGAGATGAGTGGTACCCAGTGGGGTCTTCTGCTGTTGTAGCCCATCCGCCTCAAGGTTGTGCGTGTTGTGGCTTCACAAATGCTTTGCTGCATACCTCGGTTGTAACGAGTGGTTATTTCAGTCAAAGTTGCTCTTCTATCAGCTTGAATCAGTCGGCCCATTCTCCTCTGACCTCTGGCATCAACAAGGCATTTTCGCCCACAGGACTGCCGCATACTGGATGTTTTTCCCTTTTCACACCATTCTTTGTAAACCCTAGAAATGGTTGTGCGTGAAAATCCCAGTAACTGAGCAGATTGTGAAATACTCAGACCGGCCCGTCTGGCACCAACAACCATGCCACGCTAAAAATTGCTTAAATCACCTTTCTTTCCCATTCTGACATTCAGTTTGGAGTTCAGGAGATTGTCTTGACCAGGACCACACCCCTAAATGCATTGAAGCAACTGTCATGTGATTGGTTGATTAGATAATTAAATTAATGAGAAATCGAACAGGTGTTCCTAATAATCCTTTAGGTGAGTGTATATTGCAACTCACATCATTATCATCAGGTCTTTAAATGCTTAAATTATGCAAACAGATCTTGACGAAGTTACTGGACAAATAGTTTTTTTGTCAGTTACTTTTCCATTCATGGTTTTATTTCATTCATGTGAATATTTTAATTCCTCATTTTTACTTTACATAAAAAGCTAGTGTGTAGAATAAATGTTTTTAAATATAAATTTGTGATGAATTAACCACTCTAATGCCCGGTTTTACAGGCAGTGCTTAAGCCTGGTCCCAGATTAAAGTGCCTGTTTGATCTGTTTTAACTGACAGTAACCTGCACTGACAGATCTAAAAATATGTCAGTGCCATTGTTTTGCCTCACACCAGTGATGTTTTTAAAGGCACGTCTATAAAAGCTACTAAAAAGTCTAATGCTGTCTTAATTTAAGCCCTGTTTATGAAACCAAGCCTTAGTGTTATCTTACGTTTATAGCAAGACGCCATTTCATTCTCAATAGTTGTTTGGATTGATAAGTAGATGTCCTTCTTTATATCAATAACTTCTCTGTTGAGCGATGCCTTCAGTTTAGTTTCCTTTAAAAAAGGGGGAAAGGCACAAATAAGTCAGAAAAATCTTGAAACAGTGTTTTTTATATCAAGGACCCTGATTACTTTAGTACATTAACAGTTTGTACATTTCAACACCAACTGGTTTATAAAAACAGCCTGTGTAATTGTAAGATGGTAACAGAATTCACATATTTGTCAATGAAAGTAAAGACAGGCACAGAGGAAAAGGCCCAGAATACAGACAACTGAACTCACCTCTGTTTGGATGAATTTCTGAATGTGATTTAACATGGAAGATCTGAAATAAGCAGAGTCAGTCCGGATGATACTGAACTTGTCAATCTGTTCCTGCACTGACCTCCCTTTTTGTCCACCCACACTGAAGCAAAAACAAAAAAAAGTTTAAAAACATTTACAGAATTACAGAATTTGTAACCCCTGAGAAATAATAAAGGAAACAGTGATGTAATTTTGGGTTATTTTACTGACATGGATCTTTGAATATCGCTCAGAAAAATGACCCTGTGAAGGGGTTATTTTCTCTCAGTAATGCATTACCAAAATATTAACTAATTTTTGTGTTCTATATATAGAACCGATTCAGCTGTCATGTGACAAATGGACAAAAGACTTGAACCAGAAGACACACAGTGAGATTTGGGAGATGAAACAAATCATTTCTGTTTTCTGGAGAGTGCATAATATGTGGCTGTCATGAATGACCCATCGATAGAGGGAAAGCCCAATCATATTTTTACTCCTGCCCGGACGTCATAGGAAACAAACATAAGAAAGTTTACTTCACAAAACATTTGGCCACAAATTAATCTGGCATTGGCAATAAACCCAATCTGTATTTTCCTGGGCAACAGTCAATTGCTGGTTTACTGCTGTAAATGCAACCTGCAGTTAGTTCATGTCTACAATCATTAATCAAGCTCCAATTTAATGTTAATGGTTAGCGTAATGTTAACAGCCTCTTATTAATTATGTGCACTTATCTATAACTAGCTACGTTTACATGGACACATTTTGGTTCAATCAGAATGAAATCAATACGTTTGATGAATCGGAATATGATGTTTACACAAACGATAAATAAAGTAATCGGTTCGATGTGTGCGTTTGTCACAAGCTTCAGATCGGAATTGATTTTTTGACATGCGCACACTGCACGAATATACTACTGTTCGCGCATAACTATTCTCCTCTATTGGTTCTTTATTTGTTTTAAACAGCAGACTTAATATTTATCCGTCTCTGGTCATGATTTGGAGACAATTGCTTGTTTTTTTATATGACGTCACGCCACTGCGTTGCCATTGCGCGAAATGCAAATGGAGGGCAGGAAGTGATTTGCTGTATTTAGAAAGCACTATAACAAACTCAAAATGCCTATGTTTTGCGTCGTTTATGGTTACTTAAATCGATCAAACCACGTGGAGTTTTTATCGTGTACCAAAAGTTGTTGTTCATAAGGGGGGAAAATGCAAGAAATTGACTGAAAAACTCTGTGAAAACGGCTTGCAAACCTAACTTAGCCTACGTCTGCGGTCGGGAGGAGCTGAATGGGAAAATGCCCGTGTGCAGTGATCACTTCGTCAAAGGTGAGTTAATACAACTTAAGTGGCTATATTTGTGTAACATGTAAGTTAACGTGTAACGTTTCCGAACTTTGTAAAGTCAAAGTATGTCTGTAAGACGAGGTAGTTGCTGATATCTACCGCCTCGATGTCAGGAAAATCTTTCAATTCAGTTGAAAAATCGCTCCTCTTCATAACGTAAGGATCACGTCCAACATGTTTGATTTTTTGTTTATATCTTTCTCTTGTAATAGCGTGTAAAGTAGTACAGTACGGATTTTCCTCCATCTCGTCCATTGCGCTCTTCACTCCCTGCCCTCCATCTGAATTTTGCCGTGCTGCTTATATTTATCACGCAGTAAAACTGCCCAAAACCAGTCATCTGTGGATGAGTATCTGAAACAAGCACTGGTGGGACGTTGTCCTGCTCCACTTCACAGACGCTGAGTGAAATGAAAATGTTTGAATAATGGGACCCTCATTTAGATTACACTTTATTCAACAGGAAGAACAGCTCATTCCGTGCGCCATACATCATCACGCTATTTCAATGTCATTGCACATGCGCAGTCCTTTCAGTTTCGGTTTTCAATCCAATCAAGTGTTTACATGTTCCCTCGATCCAACTCGATCGGATTACTGAAGGAGTGTTACCACCCCTTTCAATCCGATCGAAATTCCAATCGGATCGAGCTCAATCAGATCGATTAAGGTGTTTACATGAAGGTTTTCTAGTCCGATTGAGCCGTCAATCCGATTATAAGGGTCCGTGTAAACGCAGCTACTGATCATTATTTATAACTTTAACATCCTAAATCACTGACCAAGCATTGTAGATTATTTTATTTTAAACTGAACAAAGGGGGATTAGAAATGAAAAAATGAATAATGGTAAGTGCTTACGGAAAAATCAGTTTAAAATCTTCTTCAAGACATTCATGCAGGTTTTCAGCCAATGTCTTGTTTAGGTCTAGGAGTTTATTCATCCCTTTAGAGAAATAGCACCCAGCATTCCTGCACAAAGCTCCAAGGGTTTTATGAAATCCACTTCCATTATTCTGAGTGACAGCACAAAAAAAAAAAAAAAAAAAAACCAGTTTTAAAAAGGCAAACAAATTGTGACTGATTATTCACACCCTTGAATCACACTTACAGGTGTTATTAATGCTTCTGTGGATTTAACACATGATTTGACTGAATTGTCCACTCCCTTTGAGAGACACTCATCCAGAACTCTATAAATGGTGTCAAAACGAATGTCCAGCTCATTTAGTGCCTTCATTAGGCTCTCCTCTAAGTCCATGAAGACTTTTTCTTTCATTTTAACCTAAAACATCCATATAACAACAGTGAATTATAGAATAATGTATATATTGGCAGCATTCTGTAGACATGCATGTGAAATATCAGCAATTCTGATTCGTACCGTTTCCTTGTCTGTGTCCGGCTGGACACTTTGGATCAAGGACAAAAGTCCCTTTGCTTCATTGATATAATCTCTCCTCAGATCTCTGGTAATGTTCTTGTTAAGAATCCTCAGATCATCCTGCAGCTTTGGGATTTCTACAGGTATATACCATTTCCAAAGCACAAGGGCAAGATTTGGATTAATGTGATCAGAGCATTGTCTGGTTTATAAAGTATTTAACTTTAGACTAATCAAAAATGTATTTTTATTATGAATAATGTGGTAAAATGGTAATAACTTTACCTGTTTCACTGGGCTTCAGGTTTAATTTAGGGTCAAAGAATGCTTTGGAACTTACAGTAAAAACTAGAAAATCACTGTCAGTGCTGACTATTTTCTAAAAAAAAAAAAAAAAGTAAAAGGTAAGAAATTAAAAAAGATTAAAATATATGTAGTAAAGGAAACCACATACGAGTAGAAATCAATCAAAATACTGATAACAATAAAGAAAATTAGGAAATACAAAAACCTTAATATCAGAATTTTCAAACTTTTCTTTGATCCTCAACTTGGCATGTTCATTTCTATGAAGTATGCATACTTTTTCCAGATCCTGAAGAATTATTAAAAACAACAATATATAAGTATAAGTTGTTTAATATAGACGTATTGTGAATTATGATTTAGTGGTTGATTATGCAGTATAATGTATAGCATATATTCCTCTCAGTAAATTAATTAAATTGCAGTTACAATAGGAAAGATCTCACTGACCATAAAATTTACATTAAACAGTGTTTGCTAGAACATTTTAAAAATTTCCAAACCTGGTCTCCTGTGAGTTGGTCTGTAGTAAGCCTTGCAGATCTAAAAAGAATAGTTCAAAAGCAATAAGTCACAAACAGTTATTTATGAAATTCTGATCTGTCCCCCGTACAAGATTAAAACATGCTGCAGTGTTTCCGCTACATTCATTCTGCCGTGGCGGGCCGCCACACCTAAAATCATCCCGCCACGGCTGCAGCTTCTTGGTCCGATATTGTATGTGTTATTGTTAAGCCCCACTAAAGGCATACAAAACATTGTAAAGCACCATAAAGTTTTCGCACTATATTCCAAGACTTCTAAAGTCATTCAATAGCATAATGTGAGGTAAAAATGTATATTTAAGGTGTTAAGTTAAAGTTAATGGAAACTCATCTTCTCTCAGTCATTCTCCATTCAGCATTCAAAAAGCGTCGCGTTCGGTTACGACAGTAACACGACGACACTCTCTTCAAGATCAATGTTCCCATTATTATACTTTATTTGTAGATAAAGGTCTATGGTTTGCATAAAATTACTTTATCTTGCTGGAGTTTATAGCGCTTTCTAAATCATATTCCTTTCTCCCGGGTGTCTGTTACTACAGCACTAGATTAGAGAGCACTATGAATTGTTCTTCATGCGCACTGTAAGTTAACTGAAATTTAAAACGGTTAAAAGAAAAGGCTCAATAATCTGTTGCATAGATATAATACATTAAGCATAGATAGATATAATCTCTTCGCTTTGTGCTTTGAACTTTTCAATGCGAAGCGCTGCACGCTGTGACTTCACGTTGCTTCAAGTGCATCATTTGCGCACGGGATGCGCATAATCGCTTTGCCGCTCTTATTGGCGCCTTTCATGTTATAATGCTTAGGGGAGGTTTAAACACCTGGGATAAGGGGGCGTGGCCAATGGGAATGTCACTCATGGGCCACGCCCCCTCCCCCTGGCGAAATGGGCCTGCCACCACGGCTGGAAAAAATCCTAGAGGAAACACTGTGCTGTATTAAGAGGTTGTTACAACGCAGGTTGCAGCAGAGACGAAACTGGATCTAAGCGCAGCAGTCTTTTATTCAACAAAATCAAACTCAAATCTTTAACAAACGGATTCTCAGGAACAAGAACAACCAACAAAATGCAACGATAAGAACTGACAAAGAACAAGACAGAACACAGGGTTTAAATAGACAGAACTGAAGAGCAAATTAATAAGACACACGTGAACTGAGCTAACAATCAATCAGAAACTATAGAGACAAAACAGGCAGGGGACAGAGGAAGAGAACTGAACTTATTAACAGATAAACTAAACACAGACCAGAACAGAAATCTAAACACACAGGTGCTGTATGTTATTAATATAAGGCTTAGAATAAGATACTTCCCCTTCACTTCATATGTGTAATTTTAACTAAATACCTCACATAGGCTGCTGGATTGATCTCATCAGTCTTTGTACAGATGAAGTTAAAGCATTTGCATTCTCCTCCTGGTCCCAATTCTGTAGTACAGTGCTTTAAAATCCCCCAGGGGTCTTTGTCCGTGATTGCTCGATTGATATCACTTACAATCCAAACAAAAGAGCACTCTCTCAGTTTCTACAAGATTGGAAATAGTGATTTAGATGACATGGTTGTAGTAGCATAAAAGATTGTTTCTATAATAATTTGAAAAGTTGCAATATATATACAGATTTCCACTGGTCATCTCTTATCTTATTGCAGTCTCCAGTTCCAGGAATATCAACAAACGCAATGTGTTCCAGGAGTTCGTGACAGTCTGGAATCTTGATCGTCACACACTTCACAAGCGGCCAGTACCAGCCACCGGAACTTGACTCACTGTGTTGTGTGTAACTTGCAACTTCATTGGTGAATTCAAAGACCTGTTGAGAAATTGTTAACTTCAGAATTCAGAATACATTATTATACTTTTAATTTTGTAATGAAAACTTTGGTGTTAAACATATTTACTCTCATAAAAACTTACATCACGTTTTGAGATTTTCTTACTGATGGTTAAAAGGGTTTCAATCTCAGCAAATTTGTCATCTTTCTTGAGCTCTTCTAAAGTTTTCTTATCTGCATCGTCTCCATACAGCGCAGTGATCTTTTCTACAGCAATGTCAAATAAGTCATCGTCCCTGTCCTCGGTTTCATCTGACAAAACACTGAAAAGATCTTTGAGCTCTTTCTCCCACTCCTGCAGAGGTACAATATAGAAAATAAGGCTTTATTTATTGTATATTTATGAACATATTTATAAAGAACTCTCACTAAAGGCATGGTAAGATAAAATCAGAAACCTCTTTAGAGAAGAGTTCGATCTCTGCTATGTAGTTGGAGTCCTCCAGATTGGCTTCCACCTGAGTAACAACAGCCGTACAGGCGCCAAAGCAACCAGATGGCAGTAGATCCTTTTTCCCCAAGACTGCATTCAATAGGGAGCTCTTCCCTTCTCCTGATTTTCCAAAAATCCCAATGGTTGCCTTCTTACTGCTGACTTTCTCCATTTGATTTATCTTTGAAATTATGTCTTCCTCTGAGTTATCAGTGACTCTATTTATGGTATTCTTTACTTTCTTCATGATCTCCATAGCTGTGTGCAATGAAGAAGGAAATCACAATGGGGATGGAAAAAAATACATTATATACATTTCATTTATATAATTACATTTCGTTAGCCTCATAGCATAATTGCCTAAGTAATTTGTTTTGCCAAATTGTGATATCTGCCTAATTTTACTGTCCTTTCACTGCTGCATCATCCTGCCTTTCTGCCAATGTCCTTAGCCAATCACAACACTTATTAGGATCCAAAAACACTATCTGCCTCAGTCATCTCTTTGACTTAGGCAGTTTTGATACAAACAAAATGGCAAAAAACGTGGAAAGACAGTGTAAGACTGGAAAACTGGTTGGAGAAACTGTCTTGACCACATGGTCTATTGAAACAAAGGAACTTGCTGAAAATTAACATTCGACCTCCCCCTCACGCAGTCTCACCTGATTTACATTTCCTCTCTCTCTCAGTCAGTAACACTAAAAAACGCACACAAGTATATACATGGTTTAATGTGAATGATTATTGTGTTTAGTATCATTTTAAAGGTCTCAGGGTGGCTGGTTCAGATGTCTCATTCCAAATAAGTAAAACAAAAAGTAATAAGGTTTTTTAGAAGTTTAGAGAAACTGGCACACAAAGAAAGGTGGACAAATGGCCTTTCTCCCCTACCCCCAAAATAAGGTGTAACCTGAATGCAAATTACCATTGAAAAGAAGTTCTGGCTATTTAATGGAATGCAGCAAGGAGTCGTGGCTTTTTCTGTATTTCAGATCAGCCCATGAGGTAGCTCATGTAGTTCGTAAATGTTGGGTTTGCATCTATTTCTTTAATCCTAAAACATTTGATGATTTGCATTGATTATCTTTCAATTGATTATGGAATTGTTATAATACTTTTACCTGACATAATAAATTGTTATATTTGATTATTCTAACAGACTTTGACTTTATTTTCATTGGAGTTAAAAGGAATAGTCAAACATTAAAGGTAGGGTAGGTCGTTTTTGGTCTAAAAAACTTTTTTCCCAAATTTGTTTAAACTTTCTATATATATCAATGCATAATTAAAATGTAAGTACTCTGATAAAAAGAGTATACAAATCGAGTGACTCTAGACCGTTTAATCTGCACTAAACACAGCTCATTATTTCCTTCCGGGACGAAACAAAGGATTGGCTTAGGCGACTGTCACTCTCTCGCAACCATGGCAACACCCCCGCTGCTACATGCGCTGCCCACATGCGCGCACTCGTTTGACTCGAGGAGGGTAAGAGACTAGTAAGAGACACAATTACATGCAAAACACGGCGTATATGTTATGAATCTTACACGAAATTCACCTTCATCACAGTGTAACTGATTGTAATGGGAAAACGTGTATCAATGCAACCTGTTTTTAGCTTTGCTTTATGTTACTAGCTCGTTAACGAATCAAACTCAATATATTTTAAACTTTACCAGTATCGATATGCTAGCTTGAGTACTAACAGCCATGTTAGTTGTTTATATTCATAATGATAAAGTTAGGTATTTTATTACATGTGACTGTGAGTCTGACATGATGTCACTACATGCACTGCTCCTCTCCGCTCGGCGCTGGTAAGCGTGTCCTCCAGCTGTGAGCTGTCGGCATCGCGCGTTCATGTGTTTTGGGGGCGTGGTTTTGGAAGGCGCCCAGAATGGAGGGGGTGGAAGTGAATGGAGATAAGTAGCTGTGTTTATTACAGCCCTGAGAGGACTACAGACACTCGATTTTTATACTCTCTTTTCCAGAGTACTTACATTTTAATTATGCATTGATATATATAGAAAGTTTAAACAAATTTGGCAAAAAGTAAAAAAAAAAAATCCTACCTACAATACCTTTAACATATATTTAATGATGCACAGATATCATTGAAAAACACTTTCATTTTATGGAGTCAGATGAAACGAGTTAATACATAAGATAAATGTATTGCATTTAATTAAAAATCTCCTTGCCATGGGAAAAGACGGAACACTGCGTGATACCTTCACCTCTATGGTAGGTGGGCACAAAAGCCACATTGAATAATATTCGATAATAAACCTAAACTAATCTTTACAAACTCTATATTGCATTTGAAAGCTTCCACTTTAACACAGATGGGATTAAAAAGCAATAATGCAATAATTTGTATTTTCAAATTTGGAGTTGTGCTTTAAACAATGTAAGTTAATGCACTCATAGAACACACTTTATAGTAGTTTGTGCTACTAAATGTGCACATAGGCTAATTGTAAGTTTATTCTTTAAACACAGGATTGCTTTACTGTGAGTGTATTTGGAACACTTAGGTAAAGGCTGTTGATGTTGTATTCTAGGCCACGTTTCCTGTGTGAACTGAATTAAACAAGTGTGTGTCTATGCTGAATGTGGTTATAATGTGACTCATCATTTTATGGAGTCAGATGAAACGAGTTAATACATAAGATAAATGTATTGCATTTAATTAAAAATCTCCTTGCCATGGGAAAAGACGGAACACTGCGTGATACCTTCACCTCTATGAAACGAGTTAATACATAAGATAAATGTATTGCATTTAATTAAAAATCTCCTTGCCATGGGAAAAGACAGAACACTGCGTGATACCTTCACCTCTAATCGATGCCGCCATTGGATCGAATTAGACAGACTTACAAATTGGTGACCCCGGGACGTGATCGCAACAGATGAATTCGCGAGCAACGTCTTGTCCAGCAAAATATGGGGATTTTAAAATCAACATGAGGTTTGAACATCTTCACTTTCTTCTGCCGCTGTGGTAAGTAATTTTTTTCTTCCCTTTTGAGAAGTGTTGAGAAAATGTTGTTTGCATTGTTATGGGTATGGGAAAGCCCTTTGTTTAGTCCGGAACTGAAATACGTGAGGACGTGATAAGCGGCAGCACAGATGAAGAATGAAAACCCTTGTTAATAGATTAAAGATATCCTTGTTTGCCTAAGCAACAAAAAACGAAACCTAAAATCGGAATAACATCTTCCAAATGTTTTTCGTATAACGTTACTTGATGAGGAGCTGTAAAACAGCCTAAAAGTTTTCAAATCAGCCGCATGTTGGTCGCCATTGTGGTATTGGCTTTGTTGAAACGAACTAGCAACACAGAGAATCGGCAAACAACAGAAAGAAAAATCTAAGTTTGTAAACGATCGGACAACACGTGATTTTATAAATAAAAAGGCAGATCGATGCATTGTTTATGAAAAGCAAATTTTGAAAAAACATGATGATATGATTTACAGGCTGGATGCTGAATGCTATTTTCCATGCTGCCTCCAAAAGGAGACTAAGCTAAATGCTAGTACGGTATTGCCCATGCTACTTAAAAAACAAAGCTAATGCTAAATGCTAAAGCCATGCTGCATTCAGAAATGCTTAAACCTTTGTGTGACCGGCCCACCGGTGGGCACAAAAGCCACATTGAATAATATTCGATAATAAACCTAAACTAATCTTTACAAACTCTATATTGCATTTGAAAGCTTCCACTTTAACACAGATGGGATTAAAAAGCAATAATGCAATAATTTGTATTTTCAAATTTGGAGTTGTGCTTTAAACAATGTAAGTTAATGCACTCATAGAACACACTTTATAGTAGTTTGTGCTACTAAATGTGCACATAGGCTAATTGTAAGTTTATTCTTTAAACACAGGATTGCTTTACTGTGAGTGTATTTGGAACACTTAGGTAAAGGCTGTTGATGTTGTATTCTAGGCCACGTTTCCTGTGTGAACTGAATTAAACAAGTGTGTGTCTATGCTGAATGTGGTTATAATGTGATTCACAATGAATTTGAAAGTCAGAAACCACGAACGTGCATCTCATTGATTCTTGAAAGTTCCGAGACAGGAATGCTTTTCATATTCAGAAAACGAAATATTGTCACGTTTTAACTAATTCTGAATGACTCAGAAAGACTGTTTTTTTCCCATAGATCATTGGATTCGTATATTTCCACATCTTTCGCGTCAGATTAGCGACGGCTAATATCCGATACCATTTTAAGTGTACTTGAATGAGGGGACAAGTTATTTCCGACTAGAAACAGCAAACGCTGTTTAATCAACCTAGGGTTGGGTGTGTCCATATCCACTGTTTTAGGTCAGTGATCGCTTTGGATAAACGTGCGTGGTTTAACGACCACGGGCTTGGCTTGAAGCCATTTTAAGGGAAGTTGAGTTGATAAACTGTCCTCTTTCTTGGTGGTCAATCGTCCCTAATAATGTGACACATTGATTTAATTTCTTGAGGAGGCATTCAATGTCCCGGTATACAGATCCAATGTTTTCTTCTCGTCTCGTGTTTGTGTTGTGGTATGAAAGCACGTGTCTAATGAGCGTGATTGTGTTGTCATTCCTTGATCCGCTCCAGCTGATCATCGTCATCATTCATCACCAGCTGCAACTCATCTCTCTCACTGCTTAAATACTCACCGTCATCTCATTCCCTTTGTCAGATCGTTGTTTGATGTCCTGGGTGTCGGTGTTGAGTCTTTGTTCCTGGTTTTCCTGTCATCGTGTTCCTGTGGATTCGTCGTCTCGGTGTTGGATTGTTTCGTCTCGTCTTGGCACTTCACTTCATGAGGATTCACCGCACTTTGACCATCGAAGTCCCTGCGTTGCCTGTCCACACCCGTGTCTATACCTGTTCTTGTTCTGTTCCAAATAAACCTTGAGTAACTGCAATTGCTTCCTGTTCTCCTTACGGATCATGACAGAACGATCTGACCTTACCATGGAAGCAGCAGGAGAGACACCTACCTCGCTGGATGAGTTCGTCCACCACAGCGTCATCAGAATGGACTCTCACGAGAGGAACATCAATGACACGGGTCGTGCGATTCAAGCTTTGGTAACGCAGGTGTCCGAGCTTACCCAGCAGGTCCAACTTCTTCGTGCTCCCACTGCGCCGCCCACACCAGCCGTTCCCCCCACACCACCGGACTTCCTTGCGCCATCTGAGCCACGCCTACCGGTTCCAGAGCCCTATGCGGGTGAGTCTGC